TCTCTCTCTCTCTCTCTCTCTCTCTCTGTATATATAGATCTATATATTATATCTCTCACCAGGCGGCTATGATAAAGGCCCCCACATGGACCGCGCCAGTATGGAGGTTTACGACCCTGACTCCGGTGAATGGACGTTTGCCCCAGAGATGGAAAAAGCCTGCTCGGGCCTGTCTATGGTCACTCTAGACCACTACATCTACGCCTTCGGTGGCCGCTACAGACATATAGACCAGTACTTTGACCTAGTTGAAAGGTGAGCGGTGGATAAGATAAGACACAATAATACTTTGTTATCCGAGAGGGAAATTTTTCTTGGCTGTACAGGACCGTAAAAACACATGCAGGTTTACATAAAATATTTAAATTATATATTACTCTAATTAAATTTCAATATGAAAAGAGAAGTAAAGCTGACAAAATATACATATGGCATCAGATGCATCTTTCGCCCACATGCAGGAATGTAATTGCCAAGACCTTTAGAGTTCTATATATAGATACATCCTAGAAAGAGATGTGTAAAAGTCTCGTGGCCACTGAGCCGAGCCGACAAAATGACTTACTCGTCAGATCTTACCTCTGCAAAACTTTTCTTAAAACTAAAACAAGCTTTACCGTCAGAAGGCACGTATACGACCTATACTTGTTGCAAGTGCTGTAAAACTCTTACTAAAACTTAAATTACACTGCTAATCTTTGGCAGGCACTTTTAAATATATGACCTTTTTGTGCTGCAAATGCTGTAAAACTCTTATTTATACTAAAACAAAAACGCCTGTATTCTGTAGCAGGTACTCATATAACTTATATGTGTTGCACATGCTGAAAAATTCTCTAAGTAATATTTGAAATGAAGAGCCCTTCACTTGTCCTGAAATACTTCTATGACCTATTTGTGTAAATCTGTAACTAAACTCAGCCTAGCCACCCCCTCAAATACTCCTATCACCTGTTTGAGTTGAAGGTGCTGTATTTCTATGACGTATTTGTGTCGCAAGTGCTGTAAACCTGTCACTGACCCTATCCTGCCCCCGTCCCCAGATACAACACGATAACGAGGCAGTGGGCCACCATCACCCCGATGACCACCCCCCGCGCCTGGTTCGGCATCGCCGTCTTCGACAGTCGCATCTATGTCTGTGGGGGCTTCGACGGCAACTCGCGCCTCCGCCATTGTGAAATGTACGACCCGGAGACGGACTCGTGGACTGTGATAAGTGGCATGAAAATCGGCCGGGCCGGTTGTGGGGCCACTGTTGTCTAGTCGGCACTTAATGCGTGCATGTGTGTGTCTGCACGTGCGCACGTTTGTGTATGTATGCAATTTATCCAAAGAACTGTGCCTAAATATTGGGAGAGTTCTCACAAGCTGATGATATTCTGACGTGTACTGAGAAAAAAAACATGAAAAGAGGCTGTGCTGCGAGGAACGGAGTGGTTTTTATGTGTGCAGTTGTGTTTTGCTGTTATTTCAGCAATGAAGGGCTGTTGTTTCAGCGATGAAGGGCTGTTATTCCAGCGATGAACGGTTGTTCTTTCAGCGATGAAGGGCTGTTATTCCAGCGATGAACGGTTGTTCTTTCAGCGATGTTTTGCTGTTATTCCATCAAGGAACAGCTGATGTTTCAAGCAGAACTTCTCGTTCTTTTGTCTGTGAGGAATTCTCGACTCTCAAGCATCTCTCGTGATTTTCCTGAAGCCTTCGTGTCGTGTCGCTGCGGAAGATCAAACAGAATCTGGGCTGGCGAGGGAAGTGGCCCATGACTTCTGCCAGAGGTTTTAATGGAATGAAATATGTGAATGTGAGGTGTGCTGACAAAATCTCGCAATCCATGAACAAAGATATTGGCCAAAACTCGACACAGGGGTCAGGTTTATAGATTTTCAACCGGTTGCCATTTTCTTTAAGTTAAAAATTTCTTTGATCATGTTATGCAAATAGATTGTACAGACTCAACCTATAAATTTTGACATATACATTTTATTATATCTATGTCCTTAGGGCTACAGTCTGAGAAGTATCTCATGTTGTCAGCAGACTTCACAGGTTATGTTTTTGAGTGTTCACGCATCGTCTCCCACGTGTAAAGTTGGGACAGTGTCTGGTCTAGGATATCATAAGTAAAGTCTATGGGTGGCCATGACAGTGTCTGGTCTAGGATATCACAAGTCAAATCTATGGCTGGCCATGACAGTGTCTGGTCTAGGATATCATAATTCAAGTCTATGGCTGGCCATGACAGTGTCTGGTCTAGGATAATTCAAATCTTTGGGAGCTTGCGGCTCTCGACAAACCTTCCAGCTTATAGTGTGACCTGAGGTTTCGCACACGACACACACTACGTGTCACATCCAACTTCGTGATAGCACAGCTGCTGATGAATCTATCCATGCGTCCAACACACGACACTCAACACACGACACACACACCACGTTAAATCCAACCTCGTGATAGCACAGCTGCTGATGAATCTATCCATGCGTCCAACACACGACACTCAACACACGACACACACACCACGTTAAATCCAACCTCGTGATAGCACAGCTGCTGATGAATCTATCCACGCGTCCACTGCCTAGTGGAAGACCCCGGCGTGCGCCGTTTGGACAAATGACACACGATGGAGTCTGGCGCTGAGCAGTCTAGACGTACGTCGCACAAGTTGCCTCGCAGAAGCTGACTTCCTTTGTGATTTATGAATGAATGTCCGCGTGTATGCATGGACGTACTGTGGAGATTTCTTATTCATGTATGCATGGATATATTATATGTGGAGATCGCTTATGTACGGAAGAACTGGCTTATGCATGTATACATGGAAGTACGATGACCACTTAAACTGAAACAGTGATGATCTGAAAGAAGACAGAATCCCGGATTTGTTTTTTTATTTGTGTTTGTAACAAAAGTAGGCCACTGATTCACTGACATGCTCCTATAGTTATAAAAATTGTCAAGACTTTGGATGGTGCGACTATTCGGCATCTGTTAAAACAAGTCGTCGGGGTGGAAGAGAAAACACTGCGTACAGCCTGCAGCTCATAGTACAGCTTGAAAGAGGTGGATGCGAAACAACATTTCCTCCCAAAAGTGAAATTGGCCTCGGTGCGTATGTTACTTGAGCAATCTCTCTTAACTGAAAGGGGGAATATACCGAAGAAAATCTGGGGGTCCTGCAGATTTCAGTTTAAGCAATCTCCACGGGACAAGTTTTTGTTTTGTTTTGTAAAATGCACATATGTTTTGTGGAAAGTATGTGTCAGAGAAGAGAAAAAGCAGGCTCAGATGGTCATGAAATGAACAGTTTGTTTTGTTCTCTCCAGATGCCACACTCACGTATGGAGCGGTGTATTTCTGTACGCGTGTTGTGTGGGGGGGGGGGTGTTTTTGTACACACGTGTTGTGTGGGGGTCAATGACTTAACTGTCTGATGCAGCAGTCGTGAATGTTTTGTCATGTGGTTGCTTTTAATTGTAAGGACAAGTGGGCTAACCCAGATGTCGGGGTTTCCAGAAATCTTGACATACACCAAAAGTGGGGATTGCCCTACTTAAAGGAGAAGTTTGGTTTCATTGGTGTGTATTTGTTTGGTTATAGAGAAAACTCTCCTTGTCTTTTAAAGAAACCAAACGAGGGGCAAAAACTTTACCTTCGATTTTCTCAAAACAGCATTTTTGGGATAGCCCCCTTATTGTTCTTAAAAGCGGCCATTTATTGTCTTAGTTTTTGGGGTGGTCACGTCTCTGGGACATCGGGTGATTCTTGACCTTCCCGACCTCTCATTACTTAGCCATAGAGGATGGAGAGTGAGCGGAGGTGACAGTATTAGTAGGGAGTGTGAGTCGAGGCGGCTCAAGGACTCTGGTAGAGCTCACAGCGGACAGTATTATGAATCACGAGTTGTATTATGGGAAACCAAAGCGTCAGCTCAACAATAGCGGAAAATCGTGTTACAATGAGAGGCTTTCTAGTCCATTCATCCAGTGGTGGGGCATTGGGTTTGCAGCTGAAAGGTTGTGGGTTCGATTCCCAGCTTTTCTGAGCAGGATATTTTGTCCTTAGGAGAGCTACTTAATATATGGATCCTGTTTTCCTTTGTTCACCTGGCTGTAAGTAGCACTTGGCTGTGATGAAATGTCTAGATGATAGGGGTATGGGTTGAACAGACTGCGGGGGTGTATTTATACAAGTATGTAGGTCATCATGGGGAATTCAGGCGCTCGTCAAAAAAATGAAATGGAAGAAACTGACTTTTTTGAGTTGGGCAAGTTTCATTGACAAAATCTGAACTTGTTTGGCTCAGCACCTTTTATGTTTTATCCCCATTTAAAAAACAAGCTTCTGTGTGGATTTTACTGGAAAACCTTGATCCAAAGTTCAATGTGGAATGTCCGTTGTTTTCTACCAAATAGATACCGTCAGTAATTCAGTGGTGAGAAATTGTTCTTTGCCAGTATATATCTCAGTATTCAACTTTTTGTGTTCTTGCAATATGTTTTACTGTAGCTTTTAGTGAGCCGCATTATGCCTGCCTGCTGTTCAAATGTGCTCAGACAAAAAAATTGCTTTTTTAATCTGTGGTATCGGTTGCAAATGCTGAAGAAATATTTTTTTTGAATTTCCACTTCTAAATGTTGAAAAAGAACGAGAAAAAATACATTGGAGGTACTATTGTGAAATGAATGAAACAGATTTTTTACCCTCCCGGAAAATTTTTCTTTCATGGCTTAGCACATGAACATTTAAGCATCTGTCCGTCTGAACTTTTCAACGTGTCAGTCCAGTTGTTGTGTTCTCTAGTGCGGGTATGTTTGTTGTTGATTTATTTTGTGTTCTGTGAGTTGACACATGTCATGACCCTGCCCGTAGAACGTACTGCCAGCGAGCTGTCAAATTGTCGGATGTACGGAGATGAGGAAGCTAAGTAGTTCTGGGGAGAGAGGAGAAACCTGCTTCATTCTGTAACACTTACACCATCGGCGACTTTAGCCGCCAGGCCGCAGTATGCGCTCACTTAGCCGCCGACGCAACCAGGCACACTAAACATAATTTAACAACAAATGGACACACTGCACTGAATCAAAGTAAATACAAAGGAAGTCAGTGTATGATAGCTGAATGATTGATGAACTCTGTGAGTTTTTATAGGGTGTTTCTTGGGCTGCTGAGGTTTTTAAAATGTAAAACAAAATTCTACCATGGCCTCAGCGTTCTTAACTGGTACGGTACTCGAGGGTTTTTCACTATATATGAGCCTGCGGTACTGTAAGTGGTAAACAATTGTACCTATATTTTGCATGTTTTCTTGCTTTTTTCAACATTTATAATTTCTTTTTTTTAAAAATTTGTCTTGAGCACAAACAACTGATACCGTAGAGTAAGAAACTGCGATTTAAAAAAATATTTCGGAATGTTGGGCTCGGAATATCTGGACAACTGACTGGGGATAATATATGTCCTCGGGTAACCTTCTCAGAGGATGGTAAACAAGTCTCGTAGTTTGCTAGTCCCACGCCATGTTTGTTTGTGTTCATTTCCCACGATGCCATTGGTGAGCTCACGTAGTGACCTGTCTGGAGCCGCTAGTAGTTCCGTGCTAGTAGTAGGTGATGGGTATTTTTAGATATTTTTGTGGGTGGTTGGTGGGTGCTCTGCTGTGGTTCGCTCCTTTTTTCCCATCAAGCATCTATCGTCCTTATCTCTCCTCCTTCTTTCCCATCAAGCATTTATCGTCCTTATCTCTCCTCCTTCTTTCCCATCAAGCATTTATCGTCCTTACCTCTCCTCCTTCTTTCCCATCAAGCATTTATCCTCCTTATCTCTCCTGCTTCTTTCCTATCAAACATCTATCGTCCTTATCTCTCCTCCTTCCTTCCCTTCAAGCATTTATCGTCCTTATCTCTCCTCCTTCTTTCCCATCAAGCATTTATCGTCCTTATCTCTCCTCCTTCTTTCCCATCAAGCATTTATCCTCCTTATCTCTCCTCTATGATACTCTCTGGGAACACATCTAAGCTTCCTCGTTTATTTGAGCTATTTGTGTTTGCAAATGCTGTAAAACTGTCACTAAAACAAAACATACAAAATGGACAGCTGTTTTGATTTAGTGGGAGGATGCTGAAGAAAAATGGAAAAAACAAAACAAGAATGGCACCAGTTATTTGAGTGTGTGTTTGTGTGCGGGTGTGTTTGTGTGTGGGTGTGCGGGTGTGTGAATGTGTGGGTGTGCGGGTGTGTGAGTGTTTGTGTGGGTGTGTTAGGTCAAGATCTTGCCTTGTCTCTCCCATCACAGCTCAGATCTGCGTGTATTCTTGCACTATTTCAATCTGTGTGATTATTTCAAAAATTATTTTTTTAACGTAATTGTTTATAATGGTCATTTTTGCCACTGGTATGATATTATTGTTGTTGTTGTTGCTTTTGTTGTTGTTGCTTTTGATTGTATCAAAGAAAAACTCGTTTCCTTGTCTGAGCGTGAGAGATAACTCGCGCACTGCTGTGTGCTTTGTTAGAGTGAGCGAGGATTTTATGGCTGTGTTTGACAAGAACCTTTGACGGGTGCTCTGGTGTGGTTTGCTCCTTCTTTCCTATCAAACATCTATCGTCTCTATCTCCCCTCCTTCTTTTTTGTGTTTGTAAGTCTCTTGTAACACCTCTAATCTTCAGCGCTTATATTATGACCTTATTGTGTTGCAAGTGACGTAAAACTCTAAAACTTGTTTTTCTTTATTCAGTGAGAAAGATAGCTCAATCACAACTCTGTGCTTTGTCAGAGTGAGGGAGGATTATGGCTGTGTTAAACAAGATCTTACGTCCTCCGTGTAGGTTTTGTGTGGCTGGAGAGAGGGGTGTGGTCACTTCTCTCAGGTTTGGTAGACTGGAGGCTGGTTTGTGCAATGGTTATATATACAGTCCACCATGAATTTAGTCAAGTCAGCGGGATGCAAAG